AGACTTTTTTTTTTAATTTTTATGCTGAACTTTGTGCTAAGTAAGAATTACTAAGATCAAGCTACAGTGTGATTGATAATGAGTTCGTAGCCACTAATTTTACCCAGTTCATTTATTTGTGTGAGTTTACTAATTGACCAACCTACTGACAAACTTGTTCTATCACCATGAACACTGCATCACTCACAAGTCAACATGAGTACAGAGAAAAGTAATCACCAAATACAAAACAAAAAAAGAATTATAAATAAACCAGAGCTGGTATTCAAGCCCAAATTACAAACCCACCAGTTCCTACTCTCTCTCTCTCTCTCTCTCTCTCTCTCTCTTCAATGCTGCGACCATACTTGGACAACTTTACAAGTAAAGCTATCAAACAAGCTTTCGTCCAAAAAGAAAATACCTATCAAACAAGCATATTTTAGTTTTTTTCTACTGAAAATGGAGAAGTGGTGGCTTCTAGCTCTTCTCCTACTGAGTGTAATTCCTATAGAAGCTGGATTTGGGGTGGGTGGTGGTGTTGGTGTTAATGTTGGCCCTGTTGCTGGGGGTGGGGGAGCTGGAGTTTGGATTGGTGGAGGTATCAATGGAAATGGCCCAAATGCCCCATCTGGATCTTCAGCTTCAGGGCTTGACAGAGCTTACACTGCTCTCCAGGCATGGAAATCAGCCATCTCTGAAGACCCATCAAAAATTTTAGACACTTGGGTTGGCTCTGATGTGTGTTCTTACAAAGGGGTCTTTTGTGCAGATTCTCAATATGAAGTTTCTGCAGCCTCTGGCCTTGTTGTTGCTGGTATAGATCTCAACCATGCCAATCTCAAAGGCACTCTTGTCAAAGAACTCTCCTTTCTCACTGAAATGTCTCTCCTTCACCTCAACAGCAACAGATTTTCAGGCACAATTCCTGACACTTTCAAGGACCTCACCTCACTCCAAGAGCTGGACCTCAGCACATTTACTTAGACCTCAGATTCAACAGCTTTTCTGGGCCCATTCCTGAAGATCTCTTCAATAGGAGACTAGATGCAATCTTTCTGAACAACAACCAATTTGCAGGTGGACTTCCTGAAAGTTTGGGGAACTCCCAAGCTTCTGTGATCAATTTAGCTAACAACAAATTCAGTGGGAACTTCCCAGCTAGTTTTGGCTTCATGAGCAATAAACTGAAGGAGATTTTGTTTCTCAACAACCAGTTAACAGGTTGCATTCCTGAGGGAGTTGGGCTCTTCACAGACATTCAAGTTTTTGATGTCAGCTTCAATTCACTGATGGGTCATCTGCCAGACACAATCTCCTGTCTGCAAGACATTGAAGTTCTCAACTTGGGACACAACAAGCTATCTGGGGTTCTTCCAGAAATGGTGTGTTCTTTGAAAAGCCTTGTGAATTTGACTGTTGCTTACAATTTCTTTTCTGGGTTCAGCCAGGAATGTGCCAAATTGTTCTACAGAAATGTGGGGTTTGATTTTTCATTGAATTGCATTCCTGGGAGGAACATGCAGAGACCTCAACCAGAGTGCTCCTTAATTCCAGGAGGTGGGTTGAATTGTCTGAGAATCCCTGGTTCAAAGCCTCTTGTTTGCGGGTCTCTCTAGCCAAGCTCAGTCTTTGTACAACAGGTTTGGTGAAAATGGCTTCTCTATTAATTAATAGCAATTATGATTGACCTTCCCTGAATCTCAATTTTATTTCTTTATTTAACTCTCTGCATCTGAAAATAAATAAATAAATATATATAATATTAGTCTCAGAAACTCCAATGGATAAAGTATGTCCAGAAAATGTTTATGATTAGCGTTCAACTCCAGCGGTAGAACTTAGAAGAAGAATCATGAGCAAAAATTAGCGGATATGAAAATGGTTTTACTCTTCTTGTCATGTGACATTCTTATGGAATATGCGATCTTTTGAGCCTATATTTTTATCAGCTTGTGTCACGTGACATCTATTAACAATGCTCTAATTTAATAGCTTTCGTCTTCATCATCGCAGCCAAACTAAATAACTAGGTAAAATCATCTTTATCGGTCATTGCTGAAAAAGATTGGTACCACTTGAAAAGATGAACACAAATACAAGGCTTCTCTCCAGCTGGAAATTAACGAAAGGAACTAATGGCATTGGCAACCAATTATTAATATCATGGCGGCCATTGAACATAAGGGGTAGAAGAATACAACAACGTGATTATGTTACACACAATTTTGCTAGGCAATGTAATACATTGGATTTGGAAGTTTAAAGGATCGTTGGGCCACTGCAAAACCCAACAAATCACTCCATTGATCTCCCGAGCTCCCGTGAATTCGATAACCTTCGTTTATCAAATCTGATCTCTTCTCGGATTTGTAGACAGTGGCCGTTGTTCCTTGATCAGAAGGTCCTCTGTATCATTCAATAAAACATCATCAGCAATCCTTATTGTCATGTTCTAAACTGTAATTCATTTCTTCATACCATGTGTATTTTGCCTCATAGCTTGAAAAGGAACAAAGACAGAAGGAAAGGAAGAAACTTAGCCCATGTACCTCAGTAGCAGTCTCTCCCAATTGTTGTAACGTGCATATAGAAGGTTTTTCGCTGTGGCATTTCTCTGATGTTCACTCCGCCCAGTTAACAGAAAAATCTTGAAACCCAACTGCTGAAGCTCCTTGTATAATTTCAAACTAGCTGGGAGAGCAGGGGCCTTAGCCAAATCCACCCACTCATCAAAAGATGCTTCATCGAAGGTCTCTGATCTATGTCCATAAGAATATAGACATACTCAATTTCATCATATCATTGAAAAACTTAATCAATTAAGAAGGCTAAAAGCATTGATGTAGTCTAATAATCCTCTGTGTAACTCATTCTTGTTAAAGGAACATAAAACCACACCAAAACCAGCTCTAAATATCTGCTGGGAAATCGAACAATATGAACTAAATCCAGAATTTTCACAGTGAAACTCCCATTGCTGAGATTGAGGTTGGGGACTTGAAGGCAATGAACAATGTGCTAGTTTATGCAACCCTAGTTTTTCTCAAAAACATGGAAACTACAGCATTAGTGCAAACAGATTCCACATGATAAGTTTTCTGAGTGAAGAGCTGTCCTGACTTGCTTCTCAACATTGGCACATAACAGAAGTTGAAATTTTTAGATACTGCTGCTGTAAATTCCTTTTTCTATTTTCCCCCAACAAAATTGCATTCTAAGTTGCAACAGTTGCTTCTTCCCCTTTAGGCCTTCATTTTTCATTATCATATATGCTACCTCAAAAAAGATACACGTTTAGCACAAACCAAAAGGGTATTTGCAGCATCATCTTTTACAAGCATTGCAAACCAAATGACCAATAAAAGAGAAGGCTACAAATGATGCATGGTTAAAGAAACTAAAATACTACTTATGAGACTCTTAAACAAGAATTAATGCTTAATGCCCTGTTTAAACACAAGCTGTTGCATGCTCATGTTATGCATGACTAACACAAGCTGTTGCATGCTTATGTTATGCATGATTAACATTTTAAATTCAATATGCATGCAATTTCATGCATTCATTTTCACCATTTTGCCAGATCAAAATTGGACTTTAGCTGAATGCAATGCAGCACCCTGTTTGATCCAAAAGATAAAAGGAATAACACTTTTCTGCTTTTCGGTGGGGGCTTGTACCCTAGCCTACATTGCAATACAGTGACCTAACTACCTTGTGGCAACCTCTCATTGGCTAACCCACCTGCCAATGACCAATCAATCACATGTATATTGCAACACCTACCACAACAAGGCAAAGCGTTCCTAACCCCACAACAATTCATTTTGCGGTAATAATCCAACAAATCAACAAAAAGTCAAAAACGCTGAGATAAGGAAATTCCACAAATCAAACGGCTGTAAACCAACAAGCTTACCCGAATCCATGCGCCTCATAGTAGGGCAAATTGGAGAGCAGAGTCTCATCGATGTCGAATACCCAAGCGTCCTTACCATCTCCTCCGATTTGAACCCCCCGAGCGAAGCTCAGCGAGTAATTCGAGACGGCTGCCGAGTCGGACAGGTACCGGTCGCCGGTCATGTAGTCCTGGACGAAGGCGACGCACCGGGACGGAATGCTGGTCCAGGTTCCGGCGTCGTTGGTCTCGATGGAGAATCGCCAGCTGTCGCAGTAGAGGTTGTCGTCCGTGATGCGGTGTCGTTTCGGCGGCATTTGGATGATGGATTGGGATAATAATGTGGTTGGGATTATGAGGAGGTTGATGATGAGGAAGAGGAGGTGGTGGACGGAGGAGGCCATTGATATTGTTGACGGAAAACCCAGAAAGGTCTTTGCGGAGAACGGAAAGAGCTTTCTGGTTTCGGTCTTTCAGAGGCGAAGGGTCAAAATGGAGGGAGAGTTTTGTTACCGATAAACTTTTCTTTTTATTTCTTTTGTTTTGTGTTTCTCTGAAACGAAACTTTTTAAAGTAATTTTTTTTATCATTTTATTAAAATAATTATAATTTCGAAAATAAAAATAAAACTAAAATTTGCTCTTAAATTAAATTTAGAAAATAAATCATATCCACGGATTTTTTTTTACAACTAGAATTCGGTAATAGTTTTTCTTTTTTTAAAGGACAAACAAAAAATAGTTTCACTAAGAGGATGTAAGGGCTATAATCAAAGTTATATATATACTTGGTTAGGATTCTATCACTAGAAATGTAAGTTGTGCTAATCATAATATTAACACGAAGCTTTTAATTTGGACTTGACGCTTGACCTCAACTTGATCGGGATAAAATATGCTCATCTAGTTACCCAAATCTAGCCCCAAATTTAGCTCAACATGTGAATATATCCCGGAGTTATGTTATTAATCAAACACTAACAAGGTTTCTTTGACCTTATCCTGATCCGGTCTTTTTTGTTGTTGTTGATAAAGTGATATTTTAAACTACTCTTACGTATATAAAAGATAAATTCGGGTGTAAACGGCGGGCACACGTCTTAGCCAAGTCATGCCTCAAGGTTGCAATTGGTAAGTTTGTTGTACATGTATGATAGAACAATACTGTAATAATAAGAGAAATTCCCTATCACAAGGTGTGTCTATAAAACCCAAACCGCTGGCAGAATCGAAACCACAAAAACGTTGTCACTCTTTGAAGACCAAAATCTGATAAAATAATCAAACAAGAACAGAGGATACATTCACAATTCCCAAATAGGGGAAAACTTTCAAGATTTTTGGGGAAAAAATAATCACGATGAAAGAATTTTGGAAATGAAAAAAGAGAGAAGGGAATCAAAGAAGAAATAAAATATACATATTCAGTGCTCAAACCAACAATGCCTCAAACTGAGCAAAAACTAATTGGTTGTCACAGCAACAGACAGGATATGACAAGGAAGATTATGATTTTGAACCAGTTTTAATTTAGGAAAAGCAATTTTGTTCATCATGGCAAAGCTCCTTTCTAAGTTTATGTGAGAAGAGTCTGCAAGAGTCCATGCTAAGATCAATGGCAGCTGATAGTGCTACAAACAGAGCAGCATCAGCCATGCAAGTCACATGTTGCGCTCCAACTTGTACACTAGGCTTGCTAACCTTTCCTTCGCCTTCAACGGTTGAACCCATCACGAACCCTTTAACCGGTGACCTTGAGTTCAATGCAGAATCTCTCATTAAACTACTGTCAATGCAAAACTGTCCACCCTTTTTGACACTCATTGTACCTTCAGCAATGGTAATGCTGCTACTAGGCCCATTGTCAGTAACAAGTTCAAACTTGTATCCCAAGCCATCAATAGGCCCTCTCTCGCGCCATGCCTCAAGACGACCCCATGGCTTCCAGCTGCTGACGTTGAAGCCATGAGGTCGGAGGATGAGCCATGCACCTGGGTTTGACCTGGAGACACGATCACTGCCTGGGGACGGCACAAAGGGAGTGATCATAGAAGCAGCTGCCACAGGTGAGCCAGATAGATCATGAATTGTTATCATCCACCCCTTTCTCTCCCTTCCTGGCCTTTCTCTATCACCTGAAAAGGTTCCCATCCATCCTCTATTATTCATGCTGGTAAAATCAGATTGGAGAGATCTGCAGATTCCACACAAGATCAAAACCCCATTATGATCATCATAATTTATTTTGTATAGCAGTATTAGGACAAGATTAAATAAGAGAGAGTGGTTGTCAAACAGGAATATAATCAAAAACAGAACATGTAAGAACTGAGACCAAATATACTTGCACATGGGAGGGAATCCAATTATCCAACCATCCAAAGATACAGTTTGGGGAGTTGACATTGTCTGTTTGACCAAGTCAGATATGCAACTACCATACCAGATTACCAGGCCACCTGACTGTTTAAGGTTTTGAGCTTCCAAATGCCACTCTCAGCAACAACTAAATCATTCATAGAATTATATATTTCAGGGTCGGTGGAGGCAGGGTTTTAAATTATATCAGTAATCTTTGACATATGCAAAAACAGCTCACAAATTAAACACAAATGTGTCATCAGAAAAGGCGTAAATGTGGACTGAACAAGTAAAAGAATCTAAACTTGCCCAGAAAAAAATTGCATGTGAAATCTTCCAAACCAAGCCAAACTATGCATAGAGACTGATGCTAATTTGTTCATATGACAAAAGGCCTTGCTGTCATTAGCAAGAAATGAAAAGTGGATTGTCCACAAAGTGATTTTGTTACTCTGATTTGTAACTTTGATTAGCCATGACCCATGAAAGAAAGAAACACATGAAGATGCTCAGAAAGAGACTAGCATGAAAGAAACGTAAAATTCTAAACTGAACCAACTTCGGCATGTGATTGTAGGACACCAGCTAGCTAACCCAATCCAAAAATGTGTAACTCAAAACCCGCATCATGAAAAACGACACAGAAAAAAGTAATTCACCCAAAAAAGCAAAGACAGAAAAAGACCAACAAAAATAAAACGAAAGAACTTGTACATTTAACTTACAGTTAAAACAGCACTCTCAGCCCACGTTAGCTGAAGTGCATAATTCACGACTATAGTGCGCCATAAAGCAAGAAAAACTCACCGAAATCTCGAGTTACGGTCCGCACTGAACTTGCAGCTAAAAACGGGCTGTCGTATGTCCCGCCCCTGAATCTGAAAAATCACGGGGCTACACTCCGGTTCACCACCGAACTGGAAAACGAACCGGGGGTCCGGCTCGGCCCGGACAGTCAAGTGCAACCTGGCGGAGGGCTTCTCGCGGTCCTTCCCTAGCTTCATCCACCCGTTGTGGATCACGGTCGGGTGGACCCGGGCCGAGTCGAGGTCAATGCTGAGGTGGACCCGGCCCAGCAACTTCCCGCTGGTGACGCCGCAGGTCCGGCCCATCCGGCCTGTGTAGACGGAGACCCGGAGCGTCACGGGCTTGCCGGAGAGGCGGCGAAGCAAGGCAGGGTCCACGTGGAAGCCGAGAGCTGACGTGGACGAGTCAGGCGGAGAAGAGTCGCTGAGTGAATTGGAGAGGGTGAGGAGGGCAGTTTGGGAAGGGAAGTTTTTTATCTTGAGCTCGCAGAAGCAGGGGGTGGTTGACGAGTGAACTCCTGGACCGGCCGGTCTGGTTGCGTGCGGGAGCTTGAGAGCCAGAGAGTCCACATTGAGCCGTACAAATGGACATGGATCCATTACTGTTGATGTGAGCTGTTGATTTCTTGCTGATCAAATGGAGATGGACTAAAATGGAGGTTGGGTTATATTTGCTCGCATGTTACCAGTTTTAACGTTTCACTTTTCCTCCAAAGGCTTTCTTTTTTATTATTTTTTATGGCTTGGTTTTGTAACTTTGTACATTGTGAAGTGCATATTCTCTGTTTCTTCTCTGTATTCTATTGTCGCAGGTTCTAGTTTAGATGTTTTTGGTGTTTAATTATTTACTCTTTTTCACTACAATAAAAAAAAGTGCGTCTTTTTCTTTAATTAACAATGCTTTATATACTTTGAATATTTGTATTATAGTGTGGTATTTTCTCAAAGTTAGGAAGGGAATCCGAGTTTTCTCACACATATTATTAAGATGTTTATTTTTCATTGGATTAGACCTCGTTGATTATTTAGTATGACTCATTCATGTGTTATAATATATACCTGAAAAAATGATAAATATTTAACTATATCGTCCACTCATATATAGTAATCTCTCAATGAATAGTAGGTACGTAAAGATCAATACAAATATAATAATCTTTTGGTGTACAGTCTATCATCACTAGTGGGTAATTAGAAACCTCATGCTTGTTTGTTGCCATATATTTTAATTAACTAGTATCTCTTTTTATATTTGTTTTGTTTTGGTTTAGTTAAATAGTTTTGCCATTCTCTTCCACTCCAAGAGCCATCTATGAACTATTCAATTTAGCTTTCATAATGACATATTCTAAAAGCTAAATTCCACCATCGTTCGATTTTATTATAGGATTACGTTTGTATTATAGGATTACGTTTGTATTATGAGTTTACACAAACACGATTCGTTTAATTATACAAATATAATATATTTATTAAACAAATAACATGATACATCTTGCATTTCGTAACCCTAGTCTGTTAACTTTCAAATGTAGCAAGACGACGGAGTGAATTTATTTAATAATGTAAAGATCAACCCCCCCGTCAACGCTTTGTTCACCAAACCCACCACTTCAGAAAGAGAGTTACAAATACACAGTGTTAACATGTTATTGTCCAATGACAATATCATAAAATTCTGATTAGTTTGTGGGGTCAAAAGGGAAAAAGAAATGTGTAAGGATAAAATGCAAATGGATGGGGACCCCCACAGTGGGGTCACAGTACAGCTAGCTAAAGGCTGTCACCACGTTGTCATTCAAAGCCCTGCTGGATGGATTTGATTGTGTGACCATTTGGCTTTGCAAAAAAAAATATTCGCTCGGAAAAGGGCCAAAAAAACGCACAGAAGCAACGGAGACTGTCGATGTGGCATTTGATTTTGTTGGCGCCGTCTAATCAGGTTCTTGGCCAGTTGTCTTTGGACGGAATAACGCTTCCATGAAAATGAGAATAATATTATTTTGTTATTTTTGACTAATTATAATATGTCGTGTTTGAAATTTTTTTCTTGTGGCAGCTTGTAATTAGTCGGAGATAGTAAAATAATGTTATTCCCGTTTCATATAAGTTTTTTGTCATAGACGACCTTAAGGATCTTAATCTTTTATGATTTATTTTCAGTAAAATTAGTTTGGTTTTTTGCAATTTGTAGGTAATTAGCTTAAATTTCTTCACTGTACTCAATTTTTTTTGGGTCAAAATACTTTTAAATCTCTTCCCTACCGAATACATTTTGATAATTGGTGGAGCATTGAATTATTTATGCACCTAAGTTTGATATTCCTTTTTATTATCAAGTAATTAAATATATGACAACAAAATGACAAAATTATTCTTGTCGTATTTTCAACGTTTTGGTGCTTTTATTTTTCAGTTTACTTGTTCGTTATTATATCTGTAATAGGAGGAAGCAAAGACCGACTGGAATTTGAATAGAACAGGGTGGCAAATTGCAGAAAAAAAGAACCCCAATGTAGAAAAATATGAACAAGTGGAGAAAGATTGGTACTAGCCATTAGGGTTTCAATTACAAAGATGGTCCACGCATATTTTCTCTCAATTTGTTGTGTGTGGAATTTTGGAATGTTAATTAAAGCATTTTTGTTTTTGTTTTACTGTGGGGCACGCATATTTATTATGTGTGATGCGAATGCAATGTTGGGGGGCAAGCGTGTTGGCACACCATATAGATTGTTTGGCAACCTCTCATTCAGACCATGATGTTTGTTGCATTGCTACGCTACCAAATGTTCCACTCTCTCTCTCTTCACACCTTTTAAGCCTACACTTAATTATTAGCCAAAAACAATAGCAACAACCATTATGTTCTTAATAATTTTATCCTGGCTCTGCTATGTGCTTTCAAGGACGATATAAGCATCATGAGGTTTGTGAGGTCACCAACTTAATTTCATGCACTAATTAAGACCTAATGTGAAGCTTTTGACCCCCAAAATGTGAAGCTAGGTTTCTAGACTTTTCTTTATGGACGTGTAAGTAGTCTAGTATCAAATTTCGTTGTAAAGTATGAAAGTAAGTGAGAGTAAATCTTATATATATTTTTTGTTTTATAAAAGCGACAGTCTAAATTACTCTAAGAGCATTTTCACCCATTTGTCATGGCAAAAGGCAAGGAGAGACAATGACTGATACTACTCACATGAATAGTGCATGCCTTTGCAATTTTTTTGTTTGTTTGTTTTCCACTCATTGCCATGGCAACCCAAGGGCAACTACTATTCACATGAGATATGAAGAAATGAATTTATATAGAGTTTTGGTTATTTAAATTGGTTGATAACGTCATCATTAGGTCAGCTTGCCCTGGCTAATAATTGTCATTGCCAACTGACCTAACCCACGTCTTTTATCATTTCTTGTATTTTAGTTTTATCGTTTGTGATTAACATGGTTGTTGTTTATCTTTTTATTTTCTTCCTAAAAAAGCTGTTAATGTGTAATACCTCAAAATCATACACTCTGTATGGTGGATCCTAAGCATCCAAAATCTGATATGTAAATCAATGTCTGCTAACGTTATGAAAAGCACATAGGGACAATCCATTTGGTTTGTAGTTTTGCCCAAGAACAAAGTTTGGTAGACCCAAAAAAGCACAGAAAGACATTATCATATTGGGGCCTTTGGTCCTTTGGAATGGGCATGGTTATATTATGAAGTTATAACACCAACTCGGGTGGCTGGCTTCAAATGGTTGAGATTTTGGTCTTTCCTTATAAGGTTTTTCCTGGCAAGCATTTAAGCAAAGCCAGCAAGCTGGTGATGGTATCAATGAGAAGTTGGCAGACAGGTCATTTGGGTTCTCTTCTCTATATATTATCTCCCCATTCAGATTGGGTAGGGTGGTCCACCTCTCTCTCATAACATCACAAGTCCTGACCCTTAATTGACCCTGATTGTCTTGCAAAGCAAACGCAAATTATGGAAATTGAATCACCAACTTAACCATGCTTTAGGTTTAGGACCCCCCCATAACACATTGCATGATGATCAATTAGGTGCAAAGGGATGATAAAGCTTCATCATTTTTTTGTCGGCATAAAATATTACGTTCAACTTTTCTAATACGTAGTCTGCTATTATAAAGTCAGACCTTAAAACAAAAAATAAACACAATCATATATAAATTTAATCCAATAATTCATAAAAGTTAAAATGTTTGTAGCTTAAATGGTTAAGACCAATTACCCGTGCACTCGAAGTCCTATTTTATCCAAGAAAAAAGCCTCATGTATACACACGAGTGCTTGCTTGTGCATTCTAAGTCAAGTAGCGGGTCAGTGGCTCAAGGCCCAGATCCATACCAACATGTGGCTTTTAAGTTAATGAGCCTGACCTATATTTGGGCCTTAAGGCAAACCCAAAAAATGCGCGGCCCAATTTCTAATCCAATTGTCAGCGGTTCGCGCGTGTGATAACCGAGAAAGGTGCGCGAAAGCGATAGTCTTACAGAAGCTTCTGGTGGTTGGGTCGTAGTTGTATGAGGAACCTGTTGTTTCAATTTCCTTCATTTCGAAGTTATTTTATTTGAAGCGAGCAATTAGGGGGGAGAGAGAGAGAGAGAGATCTCAACTGGGATATCACTGAAATTAGCTAGAAAATTCTGGGTCTGCTATGTCTTCTCCCGCTGAGTAATACCCTCTTTTTTCTCTTCTCTTTGTTTCTAAGATTCATATATTTTTATTAGTCGCTATACTTTGCTGCCATTGATACTTCAATTTATACATTGGGTTTTGGTTTTTGTGTTATTACATCATACTGAGCTTGTTCCATGTTCCATGTTGCATTCTGCGTTGCTTTTATTTAGTTATGTATTAGCTAAAATTTTGTATTCTTGACTTGAATTTAACTACGTTTGTGTGACGCTTGAATGATCCCATATTCTCTTACAGTATTTACTTGGTTTATGAACTTACAATTTTATGGATTGAGGGGACGTGCACAGTATGATAAACCCATATTTTAATTCTTAATGGGAGAGGAGTTCATGAGATGCTAGATGTGGGTTTTATTAAGGATTTAAACGTGTTGCATTTTTGTGTGATTTTGGATGGGCACAATGATAGAATGAAGCTCTGATTTGCAGCTTCACTTTTTATTCAGTTTACTGGAAACAGTAAAACTTGGGTCTAGACTTCTTTTAAGATTATTTTTAATGGATCACTCCATGAATAGGGATGAGCAATGGGTACTCAGTGAGCATTGGGTACCCGTTTGGTGTCAAATATGTGGCGGTGGTGGATACCCATTGCCCATCCCTATCTATATGCTTTCAGATTTTATTTTACTTGGTAGCATGTTGAAGAAAAGACACATATGAACTTACCTTGTGTGGTCTTTGGCCAGATGAGTTGAGTTAGGAATTCCTATGTGTGTATGAATTCCAGATGAAGTTAGCACAGAAACAAGATCTATACTCTTTTAGTGAAAATATAGTGTATGATTTTTTCTTCATATTAATGTCTCCACTCGTGTCCACAGTGATTGATTATGATCATCCAGCTATCTTGTGCATTTGTTAGTGTTTTCCCTCGAGAGACAATTGCTTTAATTGCTTCTTTTGACCATTACAACCATATGCTATTTGCTTCTTTCAGGTTCTATCACTCACTTCCACCCATAAGCAAGGCTTATGGGACCATCTGTGTATTGGCAACTACAGCCTATCAACTAGGGCTTTATGATTTTCGAAGTATTGCATTAGTACATAAACTAGTCTTCTCACATTTTCAGGTACGTATTGCTTAAAATTGATATATTTGTGTTTAATTGTTATTATAGAACTCTTTTTTAACTTCAGCATTGTTTGTAGGTGTGGAGGTTGATTACAAACTTCTTTTTCCTTGGAAACTTCTCAATCAACTTTGGAATTCGCCTCTTGATGATGTAAGTAATAGTTTTATGGGATACTTCTCTATAATTTTTTTTGGCCTTTGTAGCAAAGTGGTACCTCTCCTTTTAGAAAGCCTAGTGTTATACCTTTTATGCAGTCCATTATCTAGTGGGAGACAGATTGGTTCTGCTTTAACTAATGGATCCATGGATTTCTCAGTAAGGGAACTTAATTATTCATGAACTAATACAAGAATGCTACTGACTGTACAGAGCAAGATATGGAGTTCAACTTGAAAAGGGACCATTTGAGCGTCGAACTGCAGATTTCTTGTGGATGATGATATTTGGAGCCCTGACATTACTGGTGTGTGAGTTATTCAATATGTTTTTGCACTTTAATCTCTTTCTTCTGAAAGGGAAGGGAAAATCTGTTTACCTGTAGTGTCTGTGCTAGCTCATGATCATATGAGCTGTTTAGAGATTAAACTGGAATTGATTTAAAACTCAAAAGGTTGATTTTGCTTCATTTTTACTCTGTGCTGGTGCAAATTTTTTGGTTTGATAGGAAAATATAATGTTGCAACTTAATGATAGTTGATGTGCATGTGATTATGTCTCATATGGTTTAGCTGGCTTGGACTTATTATCATTTAATTGTACAACAACGGCATATGTCCTGTTTTTACCTTTTACTCTTGTCTTGAAATTTTAGGTTTTATCTGCTATCCCTATATTTTGGTCCCCTTTCTTGGGGATATCTCTCGTGTTCATGCTTGTTTATGTCTGGAGTAGAGAATTTCCAAATGCTAACATCAACATATATGGCCTTGTGGCACTTAAGGTACGCAGATTGGTATACATTCACGTTGCTATTGGTTGCTTCTATTTTGTAATGTATCTGCAGCTACTTATTCTTAATGTCTGGTGCATGCAATTTCTATATATTGTGATTGCAGGCATTTTATCTACCCTGGGCAATGCTTGCTTTGGACGTCATTTTTGGTTCCCCAATTATGCCAGATCTGCTGGGAATCATTGCTGGACATCTGTATTACTTCTTGACTGTGTTGCATCCATTGGCAGGTGGAAAGAACATATTACAGACTCCGAGATGGGTGTATCCTTACTTTAGTATTTTTTGTTCTTTTAAGGTGCAAAGTAAGCATTCATGCACCATAGGAGCTATCATAAACTCATTCTCTCTCTCTCTCTCTCTCTCTCTCTCTCTCTCTCTCTCTCCTTTTCTCTCTTTCTCTCTTTCGCGGTTTTTCTCTTTTTTTCACAC